TAGCTTTGATAGCTGTCCATGCCTCCAGACAGCCTAAAAGTAAGACACAAGTTGTTTACTCACAGCCCGAATGCAGCATCGAGATACGTGGCCAGCTGTGATCCTCTCCGATTAACTTGTGACAGGACTTCTTTAGCTATTCTCCAGCGAGCAAGGTTTTTATTAAATACCTCCATCCCTCTCATCACAACAAGACTCTACACTGTGCAGAAAAAAAACAACATAAATGAAAATAACGTTGCTGGATAGCTTAGAATGAAACAAACAAACTATCTTCCATGGCTGATACTGATGTCACAGTAACGGCTAAACCACAGACAAGTCCAGCGGGGGGCACAAGTTGAATCCATATAATTAAATTGTTATTTTATATATATGTATATACATATATATATATATATATATATACATGCTATATATATTTATATTTATTTCTATCCTACATTGTCTAGGCCAGTGGTTCCCAAACTTGTTGTGCCCAAGGCACACCAAAGGACAAGTAAAAATCTCAAGGCACACCTATTGTGCAAAACAGCCCTTATAACCAGGGGTGCACATAACTTTTTTGCCCTGGTTCTCAAAGGAGCACCTGGAGATGTTGCTTGGTGCTCATCCTTAAAATGACATAAACCGTAACTTTTGAGGGGGTCTTGACTTTATTTGCCAGACACACGGCACTGAACACACAGAGGTGCACAGAACACACATGCAGAGGTGAACACAGAACACACATGCAGAGGTGAACACAAGACAACATTAGCACGACCAGTAATCCTACAAGCTGTCATAACTACCCTCCTGACTGTTCTCCTCACTGTCTTCCTCTCTGTCAGACATGGTAGCTGATGATGTAGGCCTACTACTTTCTCTCTGGTTGAGTCTGCGATTAGCATGCTTGCATCCAAAAGTCAACAGCTGGTTTTGGGTCGAAAGTCTCTGTTGTCATCTTAGACAAGTGGATGTAATCAAATAAGTATGTGAACATAACCAATAACCTACCATAGCCAATAACAAATGAATGTAACTTATTTTATTTGTGTTGTTCATTCATATCTTATTTTACCTTAACATTTATTTATTTATGCATTTTTTTTGTATCTCTCGTTTTAAAGGATATTTTTGGTTACTGTCCTATAGTATACATTGGAATGATTTAAAACCTGTTTATCCCAATAATTATAAAGGAGTGCCTTGGAAATATGTGTTTACATAAATTGTGACCAAACCGTTTGAACTTAGACTAAAGTGAACTATCTAAACACTCAGAGTCCTTTACCTCACTGAGCTGTCGTTAACTTATCAGCCTCTCAGTCTGACTGGAGAGGACTCTCCCTCCACATTATTGTAGAAACATATTCTTCTTATATCCGTTAGGGCGCCAGATAAGCCAACATCCCCCATTTTCATCACTTACAGCGCCCATCGTACAGGGCAAATGAAAGGTGTAACCGGGGTGAAAAGGGTGTTACATTTACTTAATTATGAATATTGTTACATCAAGGCCGAAAATTAGGATGAGCCCCAACGGTCAAAATGTTTTCTTCCCTCCCAGAACTGCCAGCGCAGCACCTCCACATCTGGCGCCCTAGGCGAACATCTAGCCAACGCTACGGGCCGGCCCTGAGTTCATATCATGGTTCATATGCAACTCGCAAATATCTTTCTCTCTCTCTCTTCTCTCCTCTCTCCTCTATTTTCTCTTTTCCCTTCTCTCTCTCTCTCAATGTTGGTACGCAAATGCGCTTTGTTTCAAATGACCCGGTGCTCTTTTTTTGGCGGAGGTGCGCATGCGCACCTGCGCACCAGTTATGTGCAGCCCTGCTTATAACACGTGTTATCACTTATATCATGTAAAATATCTGTAAATGTGCATAATTATTTACTAATGCCAAATAAAATGTGACAAAGACAACTATATTACTCATGAAATATTTATTAACGAAATATTTCAGAAATTAATTTGAAACTTTATCAAATTAGGTTTCATCAAAGCAGCAACACACTCATTTAAACCAGACAGGTCACAAAATTAACATTTCAGCAATCAGCATTGAAACATGTGCTATTGTAAATATGTTTGCCGACTTACAAATTAGTGAGATACATGTGCCTGTCGGGGCGCGCAGATTTTTTTTATCCTTGGTGGCACTGAGGAGAGGGCCACTCGCAAGACCTGTTCAACAGAGAGCCGTGAGTCCCGTGACCTCCTGTTGTTCTTCATGTAAATCAGAGTAGAGAACGCCAACTCCAGAGATGGGGTCGTAACTAAAAAAATGTAATATATTACATATTACTTTTAAAAAAGTAATATATTACACTACTTCGTTACTATCTACATAAAGTAACTCGTTACTTTACTCGCCGAGCACGTACGAACTTGCGCATGCCTGAGTGGCAATAACTTTCCTTACCAGCAGGCGGCGGTAGTGTGTATTTGTCATTCAAAACAGGCAACAACCGGAAAACAGAGAAGAAGAATAGACGACGTGATATAAACAAACAACAAATAGCTGTGCGGTAGCTTCACCTTAGCATGTGTTCTTTGCAGGTGCTTGTTGAGGTTTGACGTGGTGTTTACAGTAGTGGATAACAGCTTCTGGCCTGGACACAGTTTGCACCTCACCGTCACATTCCTGTCTATTCTTCGGACGAACTCAAAATAATGGGCATACCTCCACCCCTCGAAAGTTATCGCTGACTCAGCCATGTTTATGCAGCACTGCACGTGAGATGTGGACGCACAAGTCGCGCAGATTACGTACATATAAACCTACAAAGTACTGATATTATAGTAAATAAAAAAATTATTATTTTTGTGTAGATGTATATTGCAATAATAACGTATGGTTGTCACAAAATCCCACGGCACACCCGGACTTGCCTCACGGCACACCAGTGTGCCGCGGCACACCGTTTGGGAACCACTGGTCTAGGCTATATAAACCGGCGGAAGTGTCACAACTTTCTTGGTTTGTGATTATAGAGAGAGAGAGATAGCGATAGAGACATAGATAGAGATACTGTAGAGATAGACATAGAGAAAGATCGTGTGTGTGTGTGTGTGTGTGTGTGTGTGTGTGTGTGTGTGTGTGTGTGTGTGTGTGTGTGTGTGTGTGTGTGTGTGTGTGTGTGTGTGTGTGTGTGTGTGTGTGTGTGTGTGAGAATATGTTATGTTAGGGCTAACCAAGAGGGGATGGATTCAGGAGTTGTTAAACAACTGATGGATTTTATGATCCACGATATTTATGCTGATGGCTTGAAAAAAAGAAAATTGTTGACAATTATCCTTTATTATCTTGTATGAATATATCTGGTATATTGCTCATTTTCCATAAAAGAAGAACATTTATTTGAGTTTGATGCATACAAATACTGTAGATGATGATTGTTGAAAATGCACTTTTACCATAAAATGCCAGCACGACCAGTTGGTTGAGGCTCAAAAAAACAAAACTGTGTAGACAGTAAAAAAAAAAGTAGTTTGTGTCCCATTTGATAAAAAAATGCAAACAAATACTTTTTCCATAGATTTTTTTCTTGGTCTGCCAATTAAAGGGTTAAGCCTATATGTTTAAGCAATTATGTCTGCCTTCCCCGTCTTGCACCATTAGGACCCACTGATATAAAATGCTTAACTGCCTAAGTTGCAACTATGCACTTTTTGGTGGGCTAAGCGCAAGCTTCACATATTTTTGGCTACATTTAAAGTGCCAAATGTAAGTTTAGATATTATGCAATGCAACGTTTTTCTTGGCCTACATCAGTGTTATAGAAGGAAAGACAACAGTGATAGTTATGTTTCAGAATAACATTTATTGGAAATTGTTGGAAAAATATCACTTTTCACCAGTTTGAGCTTCAACCTCAGGATCCATGTGTCTGTGATCCTCTCCAGAATGGAAGTAGTCATCACATACAGAGCATCAACTAGTTCCTGAACAGTGTCCTTCACTCCTTCACATGCTGATATCCAAGAGAGAGAGTTACACAGTCACAAGATGGAGGAATAGAAAGCAGTATTCAATGTTTACTTCAGATTAGCTCCACGTCAGAAATGAGCATGCTTGATGTCAAGCTATCCAGCAAGGTTATTTTCATTTATGTTGTTTTTTTCCTGCACAGTGTAGAGTCTTGTTGTGATGAGAGGAATAGAGGTATTTAATAAAAACCTTGCTCGCTGGAGAATAGCTAAAGAAGTCCTGTCACAAGTTAATCGGAGAGGATCACAGCTGGTCACGGATCTCGATGCTGCATTCGGGCTGTGAGTAAACAACTTGTGTCTTATTTTTAGGCTGTCTGGAGGCATGGACAGCTATCAAAGCCACTAAACATCACATTAACAACGATGTACAAATGAAAGTCGGAGACAAATACATATTTGAAATGATTTATTCACGTTTGCAATGTTTTGAACAGACATCCCCAGTCACCTCATTGTCATTTTGTAGTCCTCGCTGTAGCTACGCGTCCGGATATCGGCATCGCAACCACAACCTCACACACTGGTACTGAATGTGCATCAAAGTGTTCCTATGGAGCCAAATATACCAAAAGATAAATGTAAACAACAAAAGAAGCGATCGAAATGTGTATTTCCTGGTTATTCGACAATGGCTCCTCAAAGTACACGCCCCATTCCTACCGTTAACGTAACGTAACGAGTTCCCCGGTGTAACCAGTTAAACGGTAACACCATAAGTTAGTCTATCTCTGTTGGTACGCTGGGCTAATGCTAATGCGAGCAAATAAAATGGCGGCTTCACGAAAACTTTTTGTTTAGTTTTACGGGGTGAAAAGGTTCGAAACAAAAAGTTCTAGTTCCAGATCTTTTTGGTGTTAACGCAAAACTATCGGAACTATTCCTGGGAAAAGTACTCCGGTGTCTTGGAAATGGGGCAGCTGGAGTGAAGCCTTGCAGGGAGTACTATGGGGTGTTTGGAGTTGTTGTGTGACAAGTAGAATGTTACCTAATCTTGCCTGATTACTGTTTGTTCCCACAGACCTATCTCCTGGGAATCATTATCTCCATATGTGGGAACGTCCTCATCAGCATTTCACTCAACATACAGGTAAGAAGCACTTAGAGTCTTTGACGAGTTACTTATAGACTGCATTTTCCTGACGGTATGCTTTATTTAGAGTTGATTCTCTGTGTTCATTATAAGAAAGTGACTCTGTGTTCTGCTGACATGCTACAGCAGCCATTTTGCAGCTTAAGAATTGTAATGAATTAAAGTGAATCTTTAAAATCTACTTAATATTCATATTGTGAAAAGCAATACAATTGTCCACTTAAAGAACCAAACTGCAAAGTTGTTGTGCTTTCATAAGGATCAGGGAGCATAATAGGTATTATAATAAAGTACAGACCTACTTTACTATAATGCTTATGATGCTCTCTGATCTTTTGAAGGCAATATTTCAAGTGACTTGAACGCCATTGTTTTTAATCCGCTTACCAATAAATATTCAACCAAGTCATTTAGAGAGTTAATTTGATTATTTTAATACAACATAGATGATTGCCTCTGCCAGACTGAGAAGCTTTAAAGGCTGAGCTATAAATACATTAACTGATAAATGATCATCGTTTTTGTTTTCCAAGCGTGATTCAGATAATAGCAACATTTCGTTTTTCTTTTACATTTCATCCTATTTATCATAAGGTCTTATATATTTTACTGGCCCTAAACAGAACTAAACGTGGACCTCAAGTAATTTGTAGTATTTCAGGAAGTTGTTTGTGATCTTAATCATAATATGGAAAATCTGCCATTACTGTAATTTTTAGGTAAAAATTCTACATTAATATTATATTATTGCCATGTATTATTATATTATCAGGACTGTCCTGACTAAATAAAAATGTGATAACTCGACATTATCGATTTGATGATTTAATTGTCAATCTTTAAAACTACATTTTTATAGTCACATGAGGTCCCTAGGATATGATGCCGCTGGCTCCTGCTCCCTCTCTCTCTGACAGAAATATGCCCATGTGCGTCAGTCCCAGCGTGGATCAAAGCCCTACTACACCTCTGGGACGTGGTGGTGCGGCGTGGCTCTCATGGGTTTCGGGGAACTGGGGAACTTTGCTGCCTACGGCTTTGCCCCAGCATCACTCATAGCCCCGCTAGGCTGTGTGTCTGTCATAGGTAGGTGCAACCTTTCCCCCCTCATGCATTTTCCACCAAGGCACAACGACAGGTTGCTCTCTCAGGGAACAGGAAGTGATGCCATGTGAAGTCTGCTCTTCTTCTGATCTTTCCTAAGCAGTCCTCTTGCCAGAGCGTACATTATGTGCGGGCGACTTTGGCTGCGAGGGAGTGCGGTCGTCTTTCAACCAGAAGGTTGTGGGTTCGATCCCAGCCCGCAGCCAACATGTCGATGTTCCCTTGGGCAAGATACTTAACCCTGAAGTTGCTCCCGATGGCATGGCCAACGGTGTGTGAATGTGTATGAATGTTAGTTCCTAGAGTAAGGTACACTGCTCTGTATGAATGGGTGTGAATAGGTGAATGACATGTAGTATGTAAAAGCACTTTGAGGGGTCGTAAATACTGGATAAGTACAGTCCATATAATTACAGTCCAAAGTCCGAAAGGTTTTCCTCTATGTGTGGCGTTTCATAAAATTCACTCAAGTGCATTATGAAACAGATTTAAAGTTATAGTAACATTAACGTTTTGAAGATTTCCATACAACATTTAAGTGAACGTTCTGGCTCATTCTGGAATAGCCTCCCAACTGAGATACGGGATTGTCCCACTCTCAATAGTTTTAAAGGTCAACTCAAAGAATGGTTGAGAAACAAACAGATGTGCAATCACCGCTAAATGCACTTTAATACAGGGGTATCTTCTCTTGCACTTTATGCATCTCTTGTATCTTCTCTTGCACTTTATATGTCGTTGCTGCTATATTGTATTGCCATGTGATAAATACTTGTGTATGCTGTTCTTGCTCTTTTGCACTTTTTGCATAATGTATTTGTTTTTGCTATGTTTATAAATGTCATTTTCTTAAATGTTTTATGTGATGGAAAGTAGCTCAAAGCTAAATCCGGCATATTTACACCTGAAATGTTTATTGTTTTAAGTGTTCATTAATGTGCAATGTCCCTAGAAAAAAACAAAAAACGTTTATATGTTCATTACAAAAAAACGAAAAGAGGCATTGTTGCTCTTCCAAGCTATTAGTTTTACTTATAACCATTACTATATATACACCTGTTTGACAGATAGACGTCTCAACAATATTCTTAGTGTTGCTGAAAAGTTTTTCTCACTACAATTTTGTAATAATCTTTTCTATATAGATATATATATATCTTTTGGCACTCCATTCCATACAAGTACCATACATACCAATATGGATTTATTTACCATTCACTTGATAATATGGGAGGGCAGATCCTTAAAAGATATCTTTCAACAATTAGGACAGGGTCGGCTCTGGAACAAATTGAATGGGGGGGCAATCATTTACCACGGGGGGGGCACACACTGCCTTCACCAACCAACACACAAACACCAACGCAACTTCAATTTCAAAACATGGTGTAAAGTCTCTTGTTTTCACACACATTGCAGGGTGTAGTGCTATTTTATAGCGCACCTATGACTTGTGCATACATGCACGGTTGTGGCACGACCACCAAAAACAGAAACATATGGACATAGGCCACCATATAAAAAGTGTGCAAATGTATTTAGTATCTAATCCATGTGAACATGTTTTAGGTGGACCTAACCTCCCCTGGGAAGATTTTTTTTTTTAATATTGAAGTTAAATGCATCAATCTGGTGCACTTTGAGAGCAAAATTAAGAGATCTATGGATACATCTCTCAACACTCATATGAAACAGAACTGTAAACAGATTTACTTTTTCTTTATGCATGTTTTTCAAATCACTCCCCTTTTAAACTGTATTCTTGTTTTACTGTCATATAGTATTTCATACCTGTTTTTAATTTATTCTCTTATTTTTTAATAACTATAATGATCATATAAAGGTCCATCCATCCATCCATCTTCTCCCGCTTATCCGTGGTCGGGTCGCGGGGGTAGCAGTTCCATATATAGGTGTTCCTCGGAAATACTTGTTTACATAAATGGTAACCAAACCGTTGTGAGACCCACTGAGATAACTTAACCCTTCTCTTGCGTTTCGGGTCAAAAGTGACCGAATGACTTTTATTTGAATCATAAATATTGTGTTTTTCATCCAATTGCCTCAATACCTTATGTTATCCTCCACACTAGGCCACTGAACATATACACTTGATGATCACCACTTGCATTGCATTTTGAGTGATTTATTCAACAGTGAAACACCCTTGATATTTTGGGTCAGATTTAACCGCCATAGAAAATGAATGGGTATGAGTGTATTATGGTCATCCTGCAGATGGAAAACATCTATATACACACACACACGCACGTTACGGGAATCTCTCCCTTTTTTGTGCTGTATGATACAATGTATCATACCTTCTCACAGGTGCAGCTCTGTGCCCCTGGAGAAACACAAACCTCTCACTTTCTCGCACTAAATGAGCCTCCCTTACCGGCTCTCAAGCAGTTATATTTGTGCCTTGCTCACATTTGACTCATTGACACCGATTACGCTATTTTCTGTACGAGGGGCTCTGGACACATTTTTGAACCAGATGAAGAGGAGATTGAACCAGATGAAGAGGAGATAGAGGAAGAGGTCTCAGAAATGGAAGACAACAGCGATCCAGACTATGAGCCTACAACAGACCAGGGAGAGGCCCCTGAGGGAGAGGCCCCTGAGAGCCCTGAGGGAGAGGAGCCTGAGGTGACATTCCACCATTTTGTATTGCCAACCATGTGCGTGAACACACGTGAACACACACACACACACACACACACACACACACACACACACACACACACACACACACACACACACACACACACACACATGTTCTGTTATGGTATATTTCTCTTTCAATAAATGTTCATTGAAGAAAACAGTATCAGTGTCTTATTTTATATTCATCACAGGGAATGCTGAACTTGATTGGCCCACCGGTGGGTCCGGACCATGACATGAAACACTGGCTTGCTTGCATCAAATCAATACATTCCATACATCATTGGAACGGGAAGAATCTCAGCTACAACACTAACTAAATCATGTCCATCTCCAGTAAACACAGCCTACATGGCAAGCATTTTTATAATATACAGTAATGTAAAATAAGCACTATCTTTGAACTTACTGCCAAAAATAATATGAAATTCACCCCTGGTGTCATTCTGTCTATCATCCCTTGATTCTACTTGCTTTGACTGTTCGAATGAGATGTCAACCATCAAAATTGGATAAGGGGTTCCAGAGATATCACTGTGTAAAACACACCGGTACATTTTGACCGAAAATAGCATCTAAACACTGACAGAGTCCTGACCTTACCTCACTGAGCTGTATTTATCTGAGACTCTCATTCTGACAGGAGAGGACTCTCCTCTACACTTGTTGTAGAAACAGCTCTTTATATCCGTTAGCATAGCTAGCTAACCAGATGCTAACAACAACAAAATGTGCTTGTGCCACACATACACAGAGCCGAGCTTGAATGAAACGCAGAGACCCAGAAGTACTTGTACTGTCATATTATTTTCGATAGCTTTACTGTATAATCAGTATAACGGATGAACAGATCGCCACTGGGCTTACAACTAAACAGTCAGCCACGTAATGACAACAAAACAATGGTCGGGGGTCATTGGTCAAGCAACACACCAATCAACGAGCAGCAGTGAGCACACCTGAGGCTATGTTTTTTATTTGTATTCTTTATTTCTGATTTATTTCACACAAAAAACATTTAGTGGAAACGTTTTCACTTATAATATGATTTTTTTTTTTTTTAAACCGGCAAAGTGGCAGGGCTTGCCTGCCCTGCATTGGGGGGGCACAGTGACTCGTTTTGGGGGGGATGGCCCGTGAATGTCACCCCATGACGCCGACCCTGAATTAGGAAGAATCTAATAGAAGAGGTCCCGCTTGTAAGCTATTTTGTATCCACTAAATATCTTACCAATAATAATAATAACTAGAGAATGCAATTCCTGAAGAAATTGCTAGTGGGAATGCTTTATGCTGAAAAGCTGACGCTAAACTTCTATGCTGAAATGTAATGTGTAAGAAGAAAGTGAAGAATTTAGATTGAAATGATACATGAACACAGGGGGCTTGAATGTGTGATGAGAGAAGAAAAGAAAGTAAAAAGGTTTGGAAAAGCAGCAGAATATTTGAACTGCAAATTTCTGAACTAACTTGATGGCGAATGATCTGTCGCCATGGCAACGGCATTTGATGACACACAGTAATACGCTTAGATGCGTTGATGGCTGCATTGTTACCAAACCTGTGAAGTTTTGGGGCGTTTGGAGCAGTTTCACTGAAGTTATGAGAAAACCGTGTTTCATGGCGAGCATTGTGTTGCCATGGCAAAGGCATTTGAAGAAATCTCAAAACTGTCCCATAGATGTCTTCACGGCTGGACTGTTAGCACAAATGTCAAGTTTGAGCACTTTTGAAACATTTTCATAGGAGTTATAGCGACATCATGTTTTATGGCGAGGGATGCGTTTCCATGGAAACGGCATATGGTGAGATCTCAGATTTGTCGTGGAGCTGTTGAGGCATGGACCGGTGATATACAAGTGAAGATTGGAGGACAATTGGACCGTGTCGATTGGATTTACAGCCTCATCGTGTTTCATGGCGAGTGGTCTGTCGCCATGGCAACGGCATTTGATGACATCCCATACTACGCTTAGATGCATTGATGGCTGCATCGTTATCAAACCTGTGAAGTTCTGGGCTGTTTGGAGTATTTTCAGTGAAGCTATGAGAAAACCGTGTTTCAAGGCGAGCATTGTGTTGCCATGGCAACGGCATTTGAAGAAATCTCAAGGCTGGATTGTTAGCACACTGCTATCTGAAGTCTGCTGCTCTGAGCATGTCAGTTGGAGCGATGACATCATCGTGTTCCATTACACAGGTGTTTATAGTTGAGCTAACGAGCTCTGTAGAGATCACAGGTTTCCATTGTTCTGAATGAGAGATGAACCTCCTACATGTGAACGTTTTGTGGAAGAACCGTAACAGATATC